GCAACAGCACAAATAGGAAGAAAAGATTGGAAATCCAATTATTTAAATCCTGATTCAAATGAGGCCGAGGAAGCCACAGTAATAAATCACCTCAAGGCACAAAATCCACTTTCATGGAAAATTCAGGGTAGGTAAAGAAGCAGCAGACAGTGTGGAAATAGACCCTTCCTGCTGCCCCCAAAAGAGGAAATTTATACAATAGACAGATAGGGTCTAATGTTTACACAGGTACAGAAGAATGATGTATTCCAGTTAAGCCCAACTGCTATTTAAAATGTCCAATGACTGCTGGTGTGACAAAGACTCTGATTGCTAAGTGCCATTTATCTGACAGGGGACAGGAAGGCTTCAGTGACATCATTTACATTTCCCTCTCCTTTGTACCCCTTCTCAAAGGAAGTGTTCAGCAGACAGCAGCAGAAGAAAGACATATGGCTCTAAATAATATTCCTCAGTCTCAATGCCTCAGCCTGCAGCAGAACCTTTCCAGAGGATGCTTAAATCCAAATAAGAGCAGCGTTTGTCGGCAGATATACTATTATCAGGCTAGTTCTCCATTCTGGGAATAAAGACTATTCCTGCTATTGGAGCTGTCTTGGCAGCACTGATAAACGTCTTTCGTCCTGCAAAGGGCTGGGAATGGAGAACAGTCCCAGTCAAGCGAGTGGATGTCAAGGAGCAGGACTCTTCTGGGCTCTGCCACCCAGGGCATGCAGGGAAAATGTCTGAGCCCCAGATGTCCTAATGATATGACAGAGATAAGAATTAGAGCTGTCTGAAAGCTTGTAAAGCCAAAGGAAGCCCTGGGTAGAACAGATGCTGTTTGCAAGAAAATTCCTATTTTTGTATAAATGTTTGGGCTGTTTGTAATAAAAAAATCACAAAAGACAGATTTGTTTTCTCCTTTTTTTATTTCTCATTTTTGGCATGGAAAATGCTTAGATTTTCAATGAAGTCCAAGGGAAAAATAAAAAACTATCCTTTTCCCCTAAAACCTTCCCTTTTTTTTCATGAAAAAACATCAACAACAATAAGATAAATCTTCAACTGGATTTAATGAATCTTATCATAGAAAAATACTTTGGCTCAAAGGCAGCATATGAGAGCCAAATACTGTTATAGATCAGCTCTCTCTTAATGGTACAGTCATGCTGAAGTCACAGTCCAGCTGACAGCATCCTGACTTTCACAGGTCAGGCTGGTCACGCAGGTGGAGACAAGGTCAAGTCGTGCTGAAAGCACATTAAAGTCCCGTGCTGCACCATTTTGCTCCTACTTACACAGGCAAGATTAAACTGAGCTGTGTCAAGGTTAAATGACTATTTTGCTTGAGCCAGTGACTCAGACGTTAAATCAAATGGGGAGCTGATGGCACCTAAAAACCTTTTCTTGTGATGGTCAAGGAAACCATGTCAGCCCTCTGCTTATTAAATACTTGTTTAAACAGTTCTCAGCAGCTTCAGTTTCAGGCACAGTGAAGGATCTGAAAAGATTGAGGAACACAGGGTTATCTTAGCAGACCACTAAAAACAAACTAACATTATCATGTTCTAAACCACTTCCCTATTCCAATACACAAAAGTTGCCTTATCATATGAAATGTTATAGCAATGGCCACAACTACACAACACTTAAAAACATAAGATGTTTGTGTGTTGGGACACCCAGCAGCACAGAGATATATTAGCAGTGTTGAGAAGGAGAGACAAAGGGATCTCACATTTATTCCTTTAGCACTTTCCCAAAATAGTTCTAATGGATGTGGTGGTTATACATTCTTCCTCCCCCGGGCTTTCATTTGGATTGCCCAGGGTAAATGATTTTGATAATGTTGCCTCTGCTTTCTGTGGTTTGAAATAGAGCTATTATTTCCAAATGGACTTTCCAAATAACAGTGGAGATGAGAGGCCATCAAACAAACATCTGCTGTGAGCCTTGGGGATGCTGACTGGAAACGGTGTCAGAGGCATTGTTTGAATAGGCAGTCAAGAAAATACCCGTTTTGATTAATGTGTACAGGCATTAGTATCAATCATCATTTCCTTCCAAGAGAAAGACTTGGAAATGCAGCACTTGAACCCAGCTGTATACACTGCTTTGGACATGTTCATAATGTCTCTTTGAAAACAGAGCTTGCTGGGCTACTTTCCTTGACCCGTCGGAAGAATAGACAATAATCCGAAGTGTCCTAAATGCAGTTAATTGCTCTAAACTGTGTCTGGGCACAAAACAGGAATAAAAGGCATTTCTCTCTCCCAGCAGAAATCAGCTACAGGAACTATTTATGTAGGGGAGAAAAGTGTCGGTCATTTTACATAAATCAGTTCCCTTTGGTGTTTGCAAAACAGAGCAAGATCATAACATGTGAGCAGACTGAAATTACAGCTGAATAAATTTATAGCCTTGTTTTCATTCATTTTAAAAAGAGATTGTAAAGTCTAAAAGCAATCAACTGACAGTTTTGGTCCACTTCTGTCTAATCAGTGCTTCAATTGATGCATCTCCTAAAAATACTTGAAATGGAAACCATCAGATGTTAACAATATCTCTTCTTCTGCCATTAGATAATATGCAATCAGTGATTACGGGCAGCAATGAAGCTTCTTAATTCAATGACTGTGCACCACCTATCTTTGCCATTTTGCTGACGGAAGATCCAGTTGTTTCTGGTTCGTATCAGTGCACTTCAAAGATTGGCAAGTATAGCTACAAAGCTAAAAATAGGAACACTCTGCATCCCACTTCAGTCACCCTCTTGTAGCAAAAAAGAATTTCAGAAAGTTCTTGAATAGACCAGAAAGAATGGAATTTATTTTTAATAAACAGTAGACACACTGGTAATCATTGAAATATATTTTCTCCAAGTGACGAAAAATGACAACATTACTGGTGGATGAGTTGACTCTTGGGCTGCTTTGCTTCCAAAAGAATTATCCTATGCAGGGAGACTCTTTTATGCTGCTACATCAGTCTTCAAGCTCATACCTGCCTGTAAAGTGGGTTAACATTTGGTCCATGGAGACAAATTGTTCAGCTGTTTTCTCTTCTGCTATGTCATGGCTTCATCTGTGAGGTTACATTCACTGTAAAAGTTTAAAGTAATGAAATATTTGGGAAACTCAAACCAGAGACAGCAGATTTGCCTTGACTGACATTTGGATTTGTGCCTTTCTTGATGTGAAAGGTAGTGACATAGCACATCAACGCTCAGGCAACTATTTCTGTAACCAAAGAGTGATCCCGCCCTACGGATCTCACTGTTGGGCCTGCATAAAGATGAGTTAGCACAAGCAGGTGTCAAAATGGCTGCACAGCAAAATCAACTCGCAATTAAATAGGTCTGCTTTGAGGATAAAGAATGTTATTAACTTTAAAATGTGCTAAAGAAGTGTCTGACCACTGAATTCCAAGAGCAGAGGACTGTTTTGTCCACAGTGTGTGCATGACAGCCCTGGACACTGTGTTGACTCAAGGCAATTTGTTTTAATCACTGCTATTTTCAGATGTCTGTGAATACAGGTTCCTTGAAGCACTGACCATGATTACTTGATGCATTTATTCAGGGTTAGTGCATTTATTCAGAGTTTGTGCAAGATGCCAAACTCCATTGACATGTGTACTCCGAAGTCAGAGAGCACAAGGGCAGTATTGATGTCTCTCCCACTTCCTAGAGTAGATGTGCTCCTCTAGATCTCTCTGGAAGTCCAAGAAGCTGCTCTGATTTACAACATACTCACCTGGCTGCTGTCAGCTTTTCTGGGGCACAGGTTTTTAGTCTGTAGTGGGTTCAAGTCATTCCCTCTCTGTCTCCCAGCCCTCCCATGCTGCAGAGGCAGTGAGGAAGCAGTGTGGAAAGCTGTTACATGCTCTTGGATGGGGAGATCCCCTAAGGTCTTCCCAGCCTCCTTTCTGTGATGAACAGAGACCAAAAGGGCTGCAGTCTAGCCTGAAGTACTTTATCTGACTTTTCTCTAGTAAATACCACAGTCCCAATAGCAAATTCTTGCAGAGAACTATTTATGGTCAATTCACAGCCTGGAGAATAAATGCCATTATAGAATTAAAATACTTTTGAATTACAAAGCTGAAGAAATTGTGTTCTGCTTTCAGAAAGACCACATTAAAAAAAAAAAAAAGAAAAAAAAAAAAAAAAAAAAAGCTGCCTTCATTGCACAGCCTTTACTTCCAAAATCTTGCAAGGACAGGGGAGAAAAGCAGCACCAGCACTGCCCTCGGGGATCTGCTACAGGGTCTGCCAGGTCCCTAAGAGCCCCAGGTCCCTAAGAGCAGGGTCCCTAAGAGCCCCAGAGCCTGTCCAGGAGCATTATGCTTCTCAGAATTTGCTTCTCCGTAGACTGGCTTCAGTCAATTCTGTGAAGTTGTTTGTCTCTTGTGGCTGGTTCTCCTTTTGTCATCCCCTTGGGTGCAGATTAACTACTAGGAGCAAGCTGTCCTGAGCAAGGAATTAATCCCAAAATAAAGAAGAATAAATTCAGAACACATTTAAACCTATCTGAATGCAAGTCACAGGTATGGATTATACTTCCCAAAGTCTAGCATTTGTTTGTACACTGGGTATTCATCTACCACATTGGCACTCAGAGGGCTCATAGGACCTACCCAAGGACCGTGTGAGACAGAAATATGGGAGAAACCAGCACTGAAACCAGATTGTCCAAAACCTGGCAGCTTCTGTTCACAAAGATTTGTCAGGCCACCTTCACTCTGGGCTCAACACTAAGAAAACAGAGCTGAAATAACTGGATTTACCCAGTTTCCATGACATGGTTAGAGGGCTGTCCCCACAGACAGGTTATATGTTAGGGATAAAGTTCCCCCATGTGAAGCAAAGATGTGTTTACTTGTGCTGGAAACAGATGAGTTCTCAGTAGCAGGGCAACCAAATACGAAATTGGTGTTTTCTGAAGCAGATAGGAGAGTTGAAATTGCTTTAGCTCTGCCTGCTTCCTTGTATATCTTTTACAGCTAAGTCCCTCCATCCTAGTCTCAGGTTTTGCTAGATATATAATCTAGATCTGCTAGACACAACTGTTTTTCTCCCTTCCAGCCATATTTAGAGCCTTTACATGGAACCACACGAAGCTTCGTGTGCTCACAAATTAGCCTTTGCTCAAATAAGATTTTCCTCAATTATTAAACGTCCTTCCCTTTTCCCTTCCCCACTTGATTCTTTTCTATCTTTATGCTCTGGGGAGATTTCCAGAGGTCTTGTGTGAGGATTACAAAAGCAATAAGCGGATTAGGGAAGAGTAGCTTTTTGGTGTACCCAGCATAATACAAATTAGGATTGTTTATAACTTTATTCCCTTATCAGTTATTACTGCGTGTATGCTGATGTACTTTGAGGTCTCCAAATAAAATGAGAGGGCCAAAGGTAACTGAATTATTTTAATTGGCGCATTAAGGAACACACATGCCAAAGAAAAGGTCATGTATACAACTCTGCTAATGAGCAAAATTTGTCTTATTATTATTAAAAGAAAGTCTGGAAAAAGGACTAATCTTGTGCAGAAGGACACAGGACTTTGGCAGGTCTAATTTATCGATCTGTGAAAAGAAGTCCCTGATTTTCATTACTCTGGTCATGAAGTTTTAAACTCTTCAAAGCAAGGAGTGCCTTCTTACCTAGCCCAGCAGAATGAGAGTTTGAGCTTGATGAAGTCCTCATAATGTTCATGTATTGCTAATTAAGAATAATATTGTTTGATATTTCTCCCTATATCTGTTGGGAAATTTACTGCATACATTCGCTTCATAGTAAATCTAAATAAAAACATAAAAATTCACCACCCTATCACCAGGAAGTCCAAAGAATGCAAAACAGTGTATTTTATTTTAGGCTCTTCCACTTTTGCCTTTGCAGCACCTCCTGTGTTCAGGAAGGATATTGGTGCCCAGACCTACCAAATGATAGACCAGACACCCAGGTAGTAGAACCTGTTCTGGTAGGTAGCAGTTCCTCTGACTTCAGGTGTTCCTGTAGCTTTCAGACAGCTGTAAAAAGAGAAGGGGGAAGTTAAAAATTAATTGATCTATCAGTGAAATGAACATATGCTCTGGCATTTGATTGTCCAGCAGAAGCAGTCAGGTAGTTATTTGTATTGCTAAGAATGTCAATAACAAGGAGCAGTGCACTGCAATGTGGTTTTGTTAATGAATTGATGAAAACAGAGCTATTTTTAGATTGTGAATAGGTCTGAGGAACTGAGCTCTACAACTCTTCAGGAGAAAAAGTACCCACTGTGTTCAAGTTTACCGGTATTGAAAACCATTCCCCCATCTCCTGATAAAGAATACGGAGTAAATGTCAAGCCAAGCCAGTGCTGACCTCTGACTTCTCTGAAAATGCCGCGGTTCTTTAAAAAGAGCAGTAGGAGAATAGGCTGAATGACTAACTGGCAGATCGTGCCCCCTGGAAAATCCCGAAGATGGTGTTGAAATTGCTGAACTTCCCTGAAGGCAGGATGAGTTGTACTGAGCAGAGATGCCGGGATCTGCATAACAACAGCTCTGCCTGCCTCCAGCACCACGACAGGCTCCTTCCCCACATCTGGCGCTCAGGGGAGGAAAAGAACGAAGAGAAATCCTTCCCCCTTGAAACCTGAGCTGGTTTTGAAGTGTATGTCCTTGTTTTCCTTTCCCTTCCTCTCCACCCCCTGTTCCCAAAGGCATAGGTGTTAGTACAGGGGCAGCTGCTGAAACCCACACTGCCCTGACCTGGGAAAACATTTTGGGTTTGGGAGGGTCAGAATCCATAATCCCGCTGCTGACACCCACCCTCAGAGGCTGCTGCACTTTTTTTAGACCCTCTCCGAGGGAGGCAGCAACTGGTCCGCGGATAAGGCTTTCAAATGGATATAATTTCATGTGCATTCCTGTGCATTCCTAATTTTGCAGCTCGTGCATTTCACCCTGGTGTGAGGAGACAGAAGTGTTCCCAGGTGAGCCTGGAGAGGGTACTGCAAACACAAGGGTTACCTGGGTCAGGTATCAAGAATCAGAGATGGTTTCCGAATAAAAAAATACAAATAGATCACACACCCCCCCTATAAATATGCTATAAATAGATACATGTATCTTCCCCTTACAAGGTGTTTAAGGTTTTACATAACAAGTCAGCAATAACATACTTCAGGCTGTTAGAAGGACTGACTGTGATATATCCACTCTTGCAGATTTTTGAACCAGAAGAAGCCTTGCTGAGAACTTACAACACGCCTCCCCTCCACAGCTGAGACAAGCACCTCATGGTCAGTAGTTTCCAGACTCACTCAGGATCTCTTTCTGCTTTCAGCGACAGCGACTGGGGTGCAGCCAAGCTGGAGGAGACCTCCATCTCACCCTAAAGACATTACTTAATACTTACTTTCTCTCTGAAAGCTTCTACAGGTTAAGTTTTCCTGATGCCAGGAATCCTCAGCTGAACATCAGCACAGCGACAACCACGCACTGTCCATCCCCGCGGTGAACTCGGGCAGATTTGTTGTTGGTTGCTAAAGGCAACTGGTTCTGATTGATGGTTTCCATGAACTTTCCACCAGCAGGGTGGAGCCTGGGCTATCGCGTTTCCAGGGCTCTGCAGACAGGCAGGGGCAGTAGGAGAGAAATAAGGAAAAATAGGGAAACTGGAAGGCCTTAAAAGTACCTGCCCTCATCGTTCAGACTTCTGCTTGTGCGTGGTTTGTAACAACATCTCGGGGTGGCAGAGACTCTGTGGGAGTTTGTAAGTGATACGAGTTGCATGCTGTATAAAACAGAGTAAAACACAACATAACAAAACAAAGAGTTTGCAAAAGCTCTTTCAGACCCATTAATATTAAACCCCTGCTCTTTTCTCTTTCTCGTACTAAAGTCATCTCGGTAAGACAAATCTCTTTTTAAAATATTTATCAGAAGAAAAGCAAAACGGTAGGAAAGGGATTTGCACAAAACCTGTTTATCAGTCCTGGGCGTGTGAGCCAATCTATCAGCCCTGCTGTGACTCTGGGTGTAGTTTTCTCTGCCTGGCTCTTACACTTCAGATGATATGAAAGGATTTCAGTGTGCATTTGAAACATTTTTTTTCCCTGATTTATCCTACCAGCATTTTTCTCTAACATGAGTATTTGTCTCTTTTAAGGTCTGCTTTACATTACGTAGTCTCTTTGTGTTCCATGCAGATGAAAAGCACATGCATCCCCACTCCTCCCTCATTATAATGCTACTTTCTGAAGAAAAGCATCTCATGTGCTCTAAAAAAACCTCTGTTATTACAAAGTTTTAAAAAACCTGTTGATGACTCACTGGAAAATAGTGAACAATTTTCCCAGCTTTGCCTTATATCCATTCAATCTTAGATCTTTCTGCCAAAAGGGTGCAAACCACTTCTTGTAGGTGGGGCTGGCAGCTCTATTGTTAATATTGCTTAAGTACATTTACCAAACATTAGATATTTTAGCTAAAAATTTCCACTCTGAATATTTACCTAAACTTGAATTACATTGGAAACTCTTAACCAGAAGTCTCTCTTATCTCTAAGACCAGGGCTTGGTTATATTTTGCCTTGTCAAAACACCCTGGTAATCTTTCTCAGGGAGGCTTTAATGCCCTTAGCCTTTAAAAAGGGAACACGAAATTTGCCTTTGTGAAAGCCTGCCCCAATTTAACTACATTAGGAGGCTTTGAAAAACTGCAGGCACTGTCTGAGCAAACCCAGAGACTGCAACACTCTGACCAGCTTGTCGAGGGAACAGAATGGGGAGGTCCCTCCCCGGCTCCTTCTCCTGGCCAGGGTGTCTCAGCCCCCTCAGTGTCACTTCTCACTCTTATCGGGCTCCTTACACAGCTCACTAATCTCACAGAAAATGGCTCTGACAGCTGTCAGAGGTAGGTCCGAGGGATAGAAGCACTGGTGAAAGACAAATGGTGGCAGAAGCCCTCGGGAAGAGGAGGTAGGGAGCAAAGAGGAGGCAGGGAGGGAAGAGGAGGTGGGGAGACCTCCCACTTGCTGGCAGTGAGCTCTTAGATCAGCACACAAACCAGCTTCAATAAAGCCTCGCAGCCTGATTTTCTACAGATTTAATAAAGCTCATCTGCACTATGCATCTGGTATTCTAAGGGCAAGCAGGACTTTCAGTTCAGTTGCAGTTCTGGATTTGTGGCTGCCCCATCCCTGGAAGTGTTCAAGGGCAGGTTGGATGGGGCTCTGAGTAACCTGGGCTAGTGGAAGGTCCCATGGCAGGGACTTGGAATGAGATGATTAAGGTTCCTTCCAACCCACACCATCCTAGGATTCTGTGGTTGTGGCTCCTTTAGCCTGTGGATGGGACACCAAAGCAAAGAGCAGGCACTCCTTCCTTCTTGCTTTCCTAGGATTTCTCTCTTCCCAAATATACCCCACGAAGAAGGAAGCTGCCAGAACTGTACAGCAGTGTGAGGAGGCTGTGGTCACCAAAGCACATCCCTATTTGGAGGCTGGAGAGGAAATCAAGAGTCCACTGTTTTCTGCTCTCAGCAAATACCTGCTCCAAAGCGCGTCACAACTCTCCAGTGGCAAGTTCACAGTCATTACTGGCATTCCATAAGCCCAAAGAGCAGAAATGCTTCAGCAGAAAAGGCTGTCCCTCTCCTGCTGCTGATCACCCTGGACAGCTGTATAATGTTCTGTTAACAAGGCTTGGAGGGGCAGGGGAAATGCTAATCCAGTGTAAAAATAGGTACTTGAATTTCAGAAAACTCCAGTTCTCAATATAGATAATCTTACTTCAGGTTCTTTATGCATATGGCAAGGTTCACTGGAGTAATACCTTTTTATTTCCGTCCTTGTGACCCTTAGCACGCAGAGAATGGGTGTGCAATAGGGACCAGTTTGGTCAGGTTTATTTAATGAGGCCGTTGCTTTTCTATAGCAAAAAAAAAGTACAAGGTCATGGAAGTAAGGACATGTTCAGAGTGGCTGTGAACAAGGGACCAGATAAAGGTTTCAGTAGCCTTTCCTGGCCCTTAAAAAATTGTCTTTTCAGATTAGAAATGATTTTTAATGGTTTGTTTAACATTTATGCTCAGTCACACTGTTACGCCACATCGCCCTATAGCTAACCCCCAAAGGTTTAGAAGCAAATGTGACCCCAAAACTGCCGTGTTGGCTGCAAGTTCCCAAGATTTCCCCTCATTTAGCAGCCATGAAAGGCTCTTTGAACTAAGCCATGGGACTAACCCCTGAAACAAATGAACAGATGAAACAAGTTCTTAAATTCCTGCAGTTCTGCTCACATTGCTACATTTCAGCTGAACACCTCAGCATAGCTATGGACTAGAATAATTCAATCACTTTCAAAACTGACAAAATTGGTGGAAATCAAAGGGCAGACCTCATCTAAGGAAGGCAAGCTAACTAATTTCATGTAGGCTACCAAGCATTTTACAAGGAGAAACTTTGGATTCTTCCTCGTTTGGAGCTGGGTCTGAATTTGTGATTCAGAACTGAAAGTCTCTGTTTCATGGTTTTAATATCCTCAGATATTTAACCTTGGAGAAATCTGTTTTTCCAAACTGCAACAATTAACAATTTCTTTCCAATGCCAAAATGCATTTTTAGGCTTGTCTTTTTGCCCACCAAACCAGGCAACCAACACCGCAGCCACTCCAGTTAATAATGCCCTCAGTTAAGGCTTTATTTAGAGGAACCCAACCAAACTAAACAGAGTGACCCAAACCATTAGACAAACAGCCAGGAAGGTTCTTCAGGTCAGATACTAGCAATGCTTGGTGAGTTCGGGGTTGAGGGAGAAATCTGACCTGGCACACAGGAGAACCTCGAGTTCTTTTGAGTACTCCCTTCAGGCAGGATGTAGTCTAAATTAAACACTTAAACAATGCCCTTTACTTTTTTCCCAAATGGCACCCTGTCTCAGAGAGAGCCTTACTGCTTTCCCAAATCCTTGAAATCCTATTACTGCCTACAGGCACTACTGCAGTGGGGAAGAGTGGTGACAATACTCCTGTTGTGGTCAAGCTGTCCGTGGTGGAGTGGCAACTTGTGATTTTCAGTTCCCATTGTGTCCAGCTGGGGTATTCTGCAGGTTTGCAGGGATTTTTGTGGTGTTCTGTCTCTTTGCATCACACAGCTCATCATCACTTCCATCTGCTGCTCTTTACAGTCCCGTGATGACTCTTAGGACCAGACCAAGCACAGATCTTTCACTCCAAAGCTCCTCATCCATCGCCTCCCGTTACCTGTCAGGCTAACACCTTCTGCCTTTCCCCTGGACTGCCTCCCTTCATCACACAGCTCACCAAATCCCTCCTTCCCATTTTTCTCAGTGGCCCCTTGACTGCTCAGGGCTCCGCCCAAAGCCTTTTCCATGCTGTGTTTTATTAGCTAATATATCATGCTGTAGCTATAATATGCAGAGCAGCATTTCACTGCATAATTTCAGAACTGGATGCATTCATCTTTTCCCCAGTCACAGCTCAGAAAGTGCCTCTGAATGGATGATTAGTGAGTCAAGAAGTTTATTAGAAGACAAACAACATACCAAGGTAAAAGCCATAAATGCAAAGCAAATCACTTATGGCCATTATTCTTTCTGGTGCCAAAAGGAATATGACCTCTAAAGCTGTGTTTGATGGCCTGTTCCTGGCTCTCATGGTTATCCTCAGGTTGTCATTCTTGTAGGCTTCAACAGAGAGTAGAGATGAGTTCAGATTTGTTAGAACAGAGTTTTTCCCAGAAGACAGCATAGATCTGCACCTCAAGTTTGGATGTGTCACTATATAATTTTATAATGTTATATTCTGATGGTGCTGGACAGATCACTCCCCCAGGTTGTCTAAAGTACTCAGCAGAAAACAAGTGTGGAGAGGGTGTCCTTCTCCCCATATTCCAATATTCAATTGTGTTTTTAACATTTGACTTAAAATGCATAGAGGACCAAGATGAAGTGTGTAATACCAGCAGTACATCATTACCAACACCAAACATTCAAAAATTGTAAGCTAAAGGTCAAAAAATCATGAAATTGGCATTCAAATAAAAAAAATAAATACTAAACATTTTAAGTTTTTTCTAAGCATAAGAACAAGGCAGTGCCCTTTGTATATTTGTTTGGATGACATCAGGACAAAGGGCTCTAGAGAAAACAGCAAATATTTTGAGATATGTCAAAGTTACAGTTTTTGACCTGCAATCTATGTGTTCATAGGCTGTTTTTAAGGGGTCTGCAGAGGGTAGCTAAGAAAAGCAAACCTATTTTCTGCAGTATTAAATCACTATACAGGAACTGACACTTCCACTGGTAAAAAAAAAAAAAAGTTTTAAGGTGCTACAAATTGTAAAAGGTTGAAAAACATGTTTCTGGTGATTCTGACTCAAGCTTTCAATTATTCAAGCATGTGAGGGCCCCAGTTCTACTGAAGTTAACTGGGATTTGTTCTAAATCCCACAGGTACTTCGGAAAGTTCAAACCCAAGTTTCTGGATGAGTGGTTCCAACTGTGTACAATGTGCAGAGCTCTAAACTTTTTCCCCCCTCCTTTTCTTTTTTCTTTTTTTTCTGGTGGAGGTGTAAATCCCTGTGTACAGAATTTAGGCCTATGTATAGCAAGCCAGCATTTTTTTGATTGTGTTCTGCAGATCCTTTCCTGACAGTCTGTGGGCCTTAGCATTTCCAGCTACACAGGCTGCCTGAGCTTTTAGTGACTTGCTCCTGTCCTTCAGCTAATATTTCTGGGATGGATTTCAGGGATCTTTTTTGGCTTGGGAGTAGTTAGTTAAACTGTCAAGGAAATGATGAATGGAATCTGCACCCATGTGTTACCACAAAGATGCCTTGCAGACGTTTCCTCAGATTTTAAGGCATCTGGCTGGGACTTCCTTACGTCACCAAATACAATAGAAGAATAGTAATGATTAGCAGTTGTATAACAGTATCCTTCTCCAAGTTTTTTTTGCTTGGATGTTTATAGAGCTCTGCTGGAAGAAAAACAATAATTCAAATAGGAAAACTAGGGAAGAGGTGAAGTTGAAGTTCCTTGTTTAAGCCACAAACCATCTCAAGTCAGTGCCCAACACACAAGTCAGAGTCTGTGCTCAGGTTAAAACTTCACAGTGAAGGTAATTTTTTTTTTACAAATGAGGAAAAGAGATTTTAGTTTCAAAACCCTAAGGATTTCTTGACAGTAACATTGAAAAAACTACATTCAGTTCCTCTGAAAGCTGCCTTACAATTCAGAAACTGAAGTATTAATTTTTCTGTGTGTCCTTCTCACATTAAAAATTGCTAAATACCAGAAGATAAGCATGTGGAAGAAATAAGTCTCATCCTTAAAAAAAGAAAATAAAACCCCCCAAACCTTGCAAAAAGAAAGCAAGTGATTCCTGAATTCAAATGATATCTTGGTGTTCCAATTTTGCCTAAGGCTAAATCACTCCTTTCAAGGAAACATCCACAGGAAGGGCAAGGTTGTTCATACCCTGAGTCAGGGTCTGCCACAATGTTGCTGCTGGAGAGCTGCCCAAATCCTGCCTCTCTGCTCCTCCTGCTCCTAGGCAGGAGAGGAGGAGGCTGTGTGATACTCGTTGCATGGGATGATGGAGCCTAGAGTAGATCTTGCACAAAAATACCTTTGCTCTGGCCCCTGGAACATTCCTTTCCTGCCCCAAGGCATTCCACCTCTCAGTTCTCAGTGATGGCTCCCTGTGATTTAGGGAAAAGCAGACAATAACACAGCTTCCCAGACCCTCTCAGGGGTTAAAAACAGAATGTTTGAGGAAAAGGTTTGTGCTGACGGTGCCTGTTAGGAGCCAAAGATCTGGAAATGATTTGTGGTCTCAAAACAGTGGACATCAGGTACGGCACTTAATGCTGAACTTTGAGGGCGTTATTTTTAAATTCTTGGGACCAGCTTAGAGCTGCAATAATTAATAATTTCAGCATAAAGCATGGGAGTTTCATGTTCATTGCCTCAGCCCTCTCCCTGTAGTCTAGTTTGGCGTTCACAGGAGGGAAATTGTTGAACACATTACCCATCCACAGGAGCAGCTCAGCCTGCACTGCGATACCATCCCTGTCAGGCTCCGCTCTCAGCCCCAGCCCCGGAGGGAGACGCTGGCAGGAATTCCCTGCTTACACAATCCTGCTGATACAGAGGCCAAGTCCAAGACCAGACCAACTTCCGGGGCCTCTCATGCTGCCGTCTCATCTCATCAGCCCTTGCTCTTTCCTCCTCACCCGGAGCCATAGGTTTTCCATCCCAGTTTGCACAGCAACCTCTGCGATTCAACATTGATTCCAACAGGGATTTTTTCCCCCACTCCTCTTCCTAGTTGACAGCTCTACTCTCAGCGTTTCTCAGCGACAGCAGTGGGCCTGCAGGGATGATCCCAGCGTGCTGAGTGAGCCTGAGGGATCAGCCTTCCTCCAGTTCACATCTGTCACCTTGTCTCTTTGCTGACGCTGCTGCTTTCCAGTGTGTCGTTCCCCTAGTGCTTGTTACACTGAAGCTTCTCGCTCACCTCAGAGGCTCATCCTCTCTCTGATGGGGTTTGTGTAGCCTTCAGGCTTGACTTCTGAAATTGCTGATGTCACAGGGCTGGGAACACGACCACCATGCTGGATCTGGGGTCATTTTAACTGCAAACATCCACCAAGAGACAACCTAGGGAAAGGGTTATCTAAATGGCAAACCCTTAAATCTCCTGAAAGGCTAGTTACTTGATGGGGCATCCACACAGGCTTTTTGCACATTGTGACTGTGAGAAAACTCCTTCAGCGCAGGAGCTTTTTATTTGCACATGGCTGGGCAGCATTTGGCACATGCTAAGTGAAGTTAGCGGCCACTCCTGTGATGCAATGTTACCCAGTAAATAAGGCTTGATGGGTTTCCTTTCTTCCCTGCATAGGCTCCACTGCTGTGCCTCTCCATGCCACCTTCCCAAACGATTACTGCCGCCGCACTGCACCCCTGTTCAGTGAGGAACAGGCAGCTCCATTAATGCAGCTGTCTCACCGTATGCCGTTATCAGCTTGACTCATCACAGCAAGACCTCTAAAGCCTCCCTGGAATTTCTGGCAGATCCTATCATTTCCTAGATATAATACATTACCTTTTAATAAATTAGTATGTGCCTAACTTTAATGACCCAGGGAAATGTAATCTTTAAATTGATGGTATCCTTTTAAAAGAATTTAAGCAAAGATAAGTCCTATGTAAATTGCGCAGTGTGTGATAGTTATATCCACCTTGAAAAGGCTGAACAGGCTGCCTCCAGCTTATAGGAGACTCGCAGTTTTTAAAGACACAGCACAGGGGAACGACAGCCCCAACCTTCCCCTTTCATTGCTTCAAACACCATAAGGGGTGTTTGGGTTCACATCCCCTCTCTGGGCTGTTTTGATGCTACGCAATTAAAAAACGTAGTTTTGGAGTTATGTACTGTAAATTCACTTAGTGCTGCAGAAACAGAGCTGCCCTTTTCAGGGCCGTAAAACCACCCTCAGTCACAGCGTGGGGAGTCACGTGAGTCCCATTTTGGGCACTGTTGGCCCTGACTGTGTTATGGGTTGCGGGAAACTCATTACAGATCCCATTCCGTGTATCAACATAAATTTGTCAACCAGTAACTGGTATAACGGTGCTTTAAGGAACATACCTTTCATTTGCTCCCTCTGTTTAGTTTGCTGGAGTCTGTGAGAATTTAATTTTTCACACCCTTCATTAAGAAAGACCAGAGGGAGGACAGATGAGCAAGCAGAGCCACAAATATATTACAGATGTGCAGAGTTTTCTTTGGGGGCTCGAGTCAGGAATGATTTGGCTGGAGCTGCCTGACAATCATACTGTGTTGTAGCTGTTCCATGGAGGGATTTCTCTGTTACACGGACGTAAGGGCACGAAGGGTGCAGGTACAAAGGGCACCTGATTGTACCCACAGACTTTTCTAGTAGCAAAGTAGGTATTTTCTCTCAACAGCTTTGAAAACTAATGCTGGTCTGGGGGATTTCTGTGTCTGCTCAAATTAGGAAGATGGAAACAGATTCAGTCAGCAGGAAGCAAGGGGGTTTGCTGATACTCTTGCAGTTTTCATGGTACTGACTGAAAAGCATTTCCATCACATCCCAGATGATGCCCTGCATTAGACTGCCATGTAACCAAGCAAATCATGATGCTCTTAGGCTCTGAAACTACTGCCAAACCCTGAAGAAAGAGTAGAGAAGGTGAAATTGGCCCCTTCATTTCCTCATAAAGTGTCTCAGCACTCAGATAACCAGACCTATCCAGTGTCACACATTGAAAAGGGGACTCTGCACAAGTCACCACTCCACATCCCTCAGCCCCTTGGCTTTTCTCCCATGTATTTACACCACAGGTCCCTGACCTCTCTTCTTCTTTGGGACCACGTCAGGCACAGCTGTTTGTCCTGTGGGCTGTACCTGGTCCAGGAGGCCAAGAATTAAGGGAATGACCCACAGGACACCTACCAAGGCTTCCCAGGGGCAACAGCCCTGTCCTTCAGCTGCAGTCTGTCTGGGCAGGCATCTCCCATGGGATGATTGGTAGCAGCACTCTTTCACCCACTTGGAAGGCAAATACAGACCAGGAGAAAACAAATTAAAGAGGAATACTTGCTCAGACATGCAACCTACCCTCTCTGTCAGTGGAGGCCCATAGTAGCACACATTAAATGAGGCTCTCCTGAGAACTCGTTACATTCCATTCTTTTTCACAGAAGAGATGCCAGGCCAATGCTGAGGACACTGGGTCTTGTGGCCATCTACAAGTTGCTTGCATGAGGTGGAGGGGGAGGGTGTGTTTTTAAAAAAGGCAAACCCATTACAGGTGCTTCATGGCAGCATTTCTGAAATAAAGCATTGATTTTTCAAAGCAATGTTTGGTATTGTAATTTTTTTAAGGTTATTACGCCTTTGAAGTTAATAAACATTTAATACTGGAAAAGAGAAAAACAGCCCTCATTTGTCCCAAAATTATTTAGATCTTTGTTTTCATCATGGGTCTCTTTGGCACAGCTTGTGAAAGACAAAATATTCACACAGCGCTGGGCATAAATAGGTGTATGACTTTGGCAAACTTCCTCCAAAAGTTTGGTGTGAAACAGGGATGGGAACGTTGTTTTAGAAGTGTGCCTTTGGATGAAAGAAAAAAAGCCTTCAGAAAACAAAAGCAGTTTTACAGCAGGGTTTAACTGGCAAAAAGCAAACAGGATCATCTTCTTAACCCTCTCACTATTAAGAATCAAAACTCTGTCTAAACCTAATTTTCTTTATAGTCAGCCTGTCTCTCTCTATGTGTTCCAAGTAACAAAGTCCTGTTACTGCTTTCTTCCATTTTTCAGCCCACAGGAACTATTCTTACTTGCCTAAAGTGCCTCTGATTTCACTGCCAGCCTGTGTAAGGGAAGCTGAGCTGGAGCAGACACTCCTCAGCTCCTACATCTAGAGGCAGCCAGAAGGTATTGACCAACAGGAAAGATTTGGGGTGCCTTTGTCAGAAAATACCTTATCAGCCAATCTAAAAATGTATATTTCAACACAGATTCTGTCAGTGCTCCTCAGCTGTGACATGCTTAAAATCAGAGAACCCCAAGGACAGCAAGAAGCTAAAGTGTGGGGATTCAGAGCAGGGTTAAACTGCCCTTCTTCAAAGGAAGAATTCAGGAATAATTTCTTCACAGAAAGGGTGGTCAGGCATTGGAAGGGGCTGCTCAGGGAGGTGGTGCAGTCCCCATCCTTGGAGGTGTCTGCTCTGGGCTGGGGGACAAGGTGGGGATTGGGCACACGGTGGACTTGAGGATTTTGGAGGTCTTTTCCAACCTCGGTGATTCTGTGAAAGCACAGAAGCAAAACAGAGCATTGGCCCCTTGATCTGCTCCTGCTCTCTGTAGTGAACCAGCCCACTGGCCTGGCAGGGAAACGAAGGCAGGCTGAGGTGAGAAGGAACTAATTGCACCCCAGACCCTTCGACCTTTCCTGAGGAATGGGGATGCACATCCCAGTATGTACATTTCAGTAGACTGTAGAAGAAGAAATTTGTTGGCATTTCCAAAATATCCACTGGACCATCTGGAAAACCATTTCTCAGCTGAGTGTAGGCAAAAGCCTCTTTAGAATTGGGAGACCTGCAGAGCATCTCCAAGAGATGCCTGGATCTGCTGTTATCTGAGTGCAGAGGGCTTATCATTACTTTACAAGCGGTGTTTGTACAGCACAGATAAACAGAATGATTATCTTATAGCAGCCTGACTCTTCCTTTGTTTCTGTCTTTGGCTGAAAGGCTGGGTAATTAGCTGAGAAACCTTCTTCTGCTACAAACGCCTAAAAAGTCAGTCTTATTCAAGACTCGGGTTTTCAGCTTCCCATTTGCACGTAGAGGTCATAGAAACCAAATAAAAAGTGAGCAAGAACAAAAGATCGGTCTGCTCTTTTATTTAGGCATGACACAAGCCTAGTGACATGAAAAAGCAAACAAACAGCAGAGGAAGTCAGGGGCAGGTCAGAAAAACAGAGAGATTAGAGGTTACTTGCTAGTGCTTGAAAAAATAAAAATTGGCCTAAATCAATTTACTGCGTGTTTACTGCTTTCCTGCTTGGCGCATTGTTTGCCTTTACTTAGTGTTCAGACCCTTGAAAGCCGCTTGGAGCTTCGATTTTACAGCAGTGAAGAAAAATACAGTTAGAGGGTTGTGGTTGAATCACTTACACCTCCCATGCTTACATTTACATAGAAAGTTTTAGTGAACAATTTAAGTGATGTCTTTGTGATGGAAATTTCTACCATGTCACGTTAACAGATTCCTTTTGCAGTTGGGTTTCTTAGAAAAACATCGATAATTTAACAAAACTATTTTGCTGGGGTTTGACCAGCTATACTTAATAATATTTTTTCCCCTGACATTTAACATTACAGCCACTATTCAGTTTTTACACCACTTTCATTCTCTTTTGAGGAACTACACTGGTGGGCTGTCTGACATAAAAGAGATAATAATAGAAAAATGGTACATCAATAATCAGATTTCAAGGAAATTCACTTACATAGCAGACTACCAGGCAAAAGTAGGTACTTAAAAAAACAAACAGAGCCATTCTCTCTAAAGCTATTACTTTCTCTCTTCCTCTGCTTCCTCTAATAAGAAATTGAAATCCATCATGTTCAGGACATTGGAATATTCATCACTTTGGAGGGTTGTGCTTCAGAAGCAGTGGGGAAAAAAACTGAAACCAGTGCTTATTTTTACTTGGTATAGAAAATTACAGACCAGATCCTCATTTAGTATAAATTGTTATATGTCTTTTTGAAGCAATTCTGAGAAAGTAGCCCTGGACCCAAAATTAAAATTACCCTTCTCCAGGCATTATAGTTACGAGCATGGACATTTTCAGAGGTTCTGTAGTTATATTTTCACATATGAGCATGGTATTTTCCCTTGGACAAAAATAGATTACTGTAGAGCTGAGCTCTCTTGTGGACTTAAAACCAGGAGAAGGTGCCACTTGCCTTTAACCACCAGTAGAATTTCTCAGAAAGAAAGTTCCTTCCCACCAGGATTCTGCTGTTCCCTCTTCTAAGAATGCCCATGGGGACTTGTGTGCTCTGTAGGATGACTGTACCCTACTAATCCTTACTGCAAAGGGACCCCAGGTAGGCATTAGATCACTACCACCACAAGGGAATACAAGTAACAATAACCCCCCTCCTGATACCCCTGTGCAGCTCACCAGTCCTTCCCACTTACAGAAGATGTGGGGCTGCAAATAGGGAACTGGCTGGGCCAGAATGGGTTTGCTATT